GATCGCGGAGCAGCGCCGCATGGTAAGCCTGAGTGTAGCTCAGGGTTACCGCTTGTAGTACTGAAACTTTACCCCGAGCTACACTCAGCAATACCGCCAGGGAGGTTAAGACAAGAAATTCTAGTTCTTCATTTTTCCCATGATTGGGGGATTTTAATATTAATGGGAAAAGCAGAGGAATATATGTATACATATACTTGCAATTACATGTCTGTTCACCCTCAGGAAGGATGGAAGGTCAATTGAAAATACATGACATACTCAGCACAGAGTAGTACCTAAATTCCGCTGTGAAGGAAACCACCAAGGACATTTCTGTGACCAGAAATTCAGGATGCTTTTTTAATTTAGACATAGCTTTCTGATAAGTCTGTTACTATGGAATTCCTATTCTCCAATTAGGTATAGAAATCGTACTCTGGGCAGATATGCAGCAGCAAGCAAAGCACTTATAGTTTACAGTGAAAGGAACAGAGGTACAACTTTCAGCCTGGTCCCCATGTTCTCCAGAATTACTTCTCATTCACTCATGAAAACATGCTGAATGATGCTGGCACATTCCACACAATAGTACAATAGCCATAGGGTACCCATAGACATAGAAGGGTGGTCAACCATGTAGACATTATTTGACTACCCTTTAGCAGCTCTGAAAAAGACAAGAATGTTTTCACAAAAGTTTATAATACCCAAACAATAGAAAAAGGGTACCACCAAAAGGCAGACAAAAGGTCCTGCTTATCTTGAGGATGACCAGTAATGTCTAAAAAAGGTTACGTAGCTGTTGCAAGCAATGGTCCCTCTCAAGTGTACCCAGACAGCTTATGTCCACCTATGTCCATGGATGTGAGATCATTGCCTGACCTGCCCATTTTCATGTAATGTCTATTGGCTGATTTGCAGATACAATGGTCTTGACTATGGGTAGGACCAGCCATAAACAGGTAGATATTTTTCACACAGAAGACAGGCACGGAGACATTGGTTTGTTTCATGAAGGTTGGGCATAGGAACCTAGTATGATTTTTACCAAACAGTGACAGCATCACAAGCAGTGTACCTCTGCTCCTTTACTCTTCACCACTGGTTTATATAGTCATAGAAAAATGGTCACAAGGGTGTAGTTAACACCTCCACCCAGTACCTCACTTACCGCCCATGAGATTGCTAACCACTTCAAAAACAAGATTGACGCAATTCGTAGGGACTTCACCACTGCTCAGACATCCACCCCACTTAGCATTCCTCACACAATAACCCCCTCAACACTTCGCTCCCTTGACCTCACTACTACCGAAGAGGTCACTAAGGTTTTCTCCCAAGCCCGCCTCACCACCTGCCCCTGGACCCTGTCCCCTCACAACTCCTGCGGTCCCCCTCCTCTTCCATCCTATGCTCCCTCACATCTTCAATCTTTCCCTCTCCACTGGTACCTTCCCCTCCCCTCTAAAGCACGTGCACATCACTCCCATACTTAAGAAACCCTCCCTGGACCTCACCGACCTGAACAACTTAAGACCTATCTCCCTACTGCCATTTACCTCTAAACTTCTAGAACGCTTAGTCTATAATCGCCTGAGCTCCCATCTCACTGACAACAACCTTCTCAACCCCTTACAGTCCGGCTTCTGCCCCCTACACTCCACTGAAACTGCCCTACTCAAACTCACCAATGACCTACTAACCGCCAAAACTAATGGCCAATATACTATACTACTACTACTACTACTTGACCTCTCTGCGGGTTTTGACACGGTTGACCACCCCCTCCTCCTCCAAAAACTATACTTTCTTGGCCTCAGAGACCCCGCTCTCTCCTGGTTCTCCTCCTATCTATCGCAGTGCTCCTTCAGTGTTGCCTATAACGCTGCCACCTCTCCTTCACTCTCTCTCTCAGTTGGGGTCCCTCAAGGTTCTGTCCTTGGACCCCTCCTCTTCTCCATCTACACCTCCTCCCTTGGCCAATTGATAAACTCCCACGGCGATGACACACAAATCTATCTCTACCCCTCACCTCACCCCCCTCAGTCTCCAATCGCATCACTACTAAGCCTACTAAGTGACATATCGGACTGGATGTCACTCCACTTCCTCAAACGCAAACTTTCCAGTAAAGCCCCCCCCCCCCCCCAATTTCTCCATCAAGATCAACAACACTATCATCAGTCCCGCCCCTCACGCCAGGGTACTAGGTGTGATCCTAAACTCCAATCTGTCCTTTCAGCCCCAGGTCCAATCGCTGACAAACTCATGTAGACTTCACCTCCGCAACATCTCAAAGATACGACCGTTCCTAACCTTGGAAACCACTAAGCAACTCTTTCACTCCCTTATTATATCACGCCTCGACTACTGTAACTCCCTCCTCATTGGCCTACCTCATCGCAGGCTATCTCCACTCCAGTCCATCATGAATGCTGCTGCCAGACTCATTCACCTTACTAACCGCTCTGTATCTGCCACTCCTCTCTGCCAATCCCTCCACTGGCTTCCAATTGCCCAACGGATAAAATTCAAAACACTAACACTGACGTATAAAGCCGTTCAAAACACTGCCCCTAATTACATCACCAACCTTGTCTCTAAATACCACCCAAACCGTACTCTCCGCTCCTCGCAAGACCTCCTACTCTCTAGCTCCCTTGTCTCCTCCTCCCATGCTTGTCTCCAGGATTTCTCAAGGGCTTCACCCATCCTCTGGAACTCCCTACCCCAATCTATCAGACTATCGCCCACTCTGCTTACCTTTAGGTGCACTTTGAAAACCCATCTCTTCAGGGAAACCTACCCCGACCCCAGCTAGTACTGGAATCCTCTACTCTTCCTACCACTCCATCCCCCACAGCTAATTACCTTTTGTACCACTATCCTCTCCCTCCTAGATTGTAAGCTCCAAGGAGCAGGGCCCTCTAATCACTCTTGTATTGAAAAGTAATGTTACTGTACTGTCTCCCTCCATAATGTAAAGCGCTGAGCAAACTGTCGGCTCTATATAAGTCCTGTATAATAATAACACAGTAAAAAGGGTAAATAATTATGTCTTTATGGTCTTATGAGAAGCCTGACTTTTTAACTGAAAAGTGATTTTTACATTTCTACCAATTTACTTGTGTTCTTAGAGTGTATGCAAACTGAAGAATAAAAATCTAATTAATTGATGCTTACTGGCCCTTAGCTGTGGTGGCTGCATTAGGTTTTTTTTTCCAGACCTTTTTCTTTTTTACTTTATTTTCAACCGTTGATCCAGTCATTAGAACACTTCTCTCCTGGAATAGCAACACTCATTGTACATCCATGGAGGAGCAGAGTTTTTTTTACCCCAGGCTGCTTGCTTCTGATTTAGACTACAGACTGACATGCCAACCCCTGTATGCCAGTCTGCATCCATATACTAAACCTCAGGAGAAGCTGGTAATATGTCATCAGTAAAGAATATGCACCTACATGCAGGACATGAGTGAATGAACAGGAAAAAAGAACTGTGCATAGATTTCAAAAGTACAGTAAATGTAAACACTAGTGTCCAAGGAGATATAAACCATTTTTATCACAAAGACCCAATAAACCCAAAGCATGGCTCCAAGCTTAATCAAGACTATATGGTGATTCCAACCTTGCTGGGTGCTAGCTTCCCTAGGGCCTGTCTTACCCAGTCACAAAACTCTGAAAATAAAAAAGTGGAAGCGAACACCAGAAAGTCTTCAGCTTTAGCTATGTCCCTGCAACGCGTTTCACCTGCCTGTGGACTTAATCGTAGAGGTGGGAGTGGAAGTGTGTTTATGCATCATCAGCCCATTACACATATAATGAAATTCAGCTGAGATAAAAGGGAACAGCTAAGTAGTTGCTGGTTCGATCAACAAATAAGTATGCAGTGGAAACAATAAAAATTATAATGACACAGAGATCCCAAAGATGTTTATATGAACAGATGATTATATCAGAGCTTGAAAAAAATTAAATCAGAATAAAAATAGATGAAAAATAAAAAGCAGAAAAACTCAACCACACTTGTAGGGCCCAATACCAATTCAAAAACCAGTTACTTTTCTTATGTCAGTCTAAACACATACAGTAAATGTAAAAATGTAAAAATACAGAAAAATGTAAGGGCAGCGCTAAGCGCCAGGCTAAAAAATATGCAGGTAGGTTAATTGGCTGCTGTCTAAATTGGCCCTAGTATGCGTATGTATGAATGTGAGTTAGGGACCTTAGATTGTACACTCCTTGAGGGTTAGGGACTGATGTGAATGTACAATATATATATATAAAGCACTGCATAAATTGAGGGCGCTATATAAGTAGCTGAAATAAATGCATAAATAAAATAAAATATGCAGATGTGTCAGCTGATCCTAAGTATCAAAGTGAAAAAAAAAGGATAAGTTCACCTTTAAAAAAAATAATAATACATGTACATCTTTTTGCAGGTTAAAATGCTGTTGGTACTTGTAATTTCCCATTCAGAGAACTCTTTAACCACTCACCTACAGGGCACTTATACCCCCTTCCTGCCCAGGCCAATTTTCAGCTTTCAGCGCTGTCACACTTTGAATGACAATTGCGCGGTCATGCAACACTATCCATATGAACTTTTTATAATTTTTTTGAGACAGAGCATTCTTTTGGTGGTATTTAATCACCTCTGGGTTTTTTTTTTTTTTTTTGCTAAACAAACCAAAAACCACTGAAAATTTTGGAGAAAAAAACATTTTTTCTTAGTTTTTGTTATAAATTTTTGTAAATAAGTGATTTTTTTCCTTCGCTAATGTGCGCTAATGAGGCTGCAGTGATGGGCACTGATAGGTTGCACTGATGGACACTGATAGCTGGCACTGACTAGCATCACTGATTGGCACTGAAAAGCAGCACTCATATATGGCACTGATAGGCAGCACTGACTGGCACTGTTAGGTGGCACTGACTGGCACTGTTAGGCGGCACTGATAGGCGGCACTGATGCGCACTGATAGGCGGCACTGACTAGCACTGCTTGGCAGCACTGATTGGCATTGATAGGTGGCACTGATTGGTGGCACTGATAGGTGGCACTGACTGGCATTGATAGGTGGCACTGACTGGCACTGATAGGTGACACTGAAAGGCAGCTTAGATGGGCACTGATATGTGGCATTGATGTGCACTGGTAGGCATTGATGGGCACTGGCAGGTGGCATTGATGATCACTGACAGCTGGCACTGATGGACACTGACAGGTGGCACTGCTGGGGCTACACAGATCATCAGGGCACACTGATCATCAGTGCCCTGATGATCAGTGCACATATCCCCTCTGAGTAACGCCGATTACCGCTCTTCTCTCCTCTCGAGCTGTCAGCGTGACAGCTCCTGAGGAGAGAAATGCTGATAACCGGCATTTCCCTATTTACATGCGATCAGCTGTTATTGGACACAGCTGATCACTTGACAGAGCCGACATCTTCGGCTCTTTCCGTTGATCGGTGATCCTCTGTGTCCGAGGGACACAGCACACCACCAATCGGAAAAAGGGGGAGGGGAGAAGAAAGGGAAATGAGGGAATGCAAAAGGTGGACTAATGCAGGCCATAGACGGGTTGAACATTGGCCGATTTTTCGAACGATAAACAAAAAATCAGTCGTTCGTTAAGCCGACGTTACCACCAACGATTAAAAAAATCGGCCGACTAAATCATAAAGTTCACCCCATATAACAGCCAAACTTCTGTCTCTTGCAGGTCACGGCCCATGCGCAGATTTTTTATCGTTAAAACGATCGGCCGATTTGGCCATCATTGCTGCAAAAATCGTCCAAATTTTCCAACATGCCCGATAATCTAAAATTCCAAAAAACCGAAAACCGGCCGACCAATTAACCCACTAACAGTGCGAAAATCGGCCGATTTTTCTTTCTGGCCGAAAAATCGGCCGATTTTCGAACCGTCTATGGCCGGCATAAGCCCATGAGCAGGAGAAATGCATTGCAGGGGTGTGGTTTGGAGGGAGCCAAAGCTGAAGTCTATCTGATACACTTAGAACCAGTTGGCTTTCCAGTGTACGTGCTTCCATTTCCATTGTTACCACACAGACAGATATTTATGGATAAGATATCAGTGGGCAATCTTTTTAAATCCTCTGATTACTCAGTAAAGGCAATCTGTCCTCATACAATTGATCACTAGGACACAATGCTTTTTTACCCAAAAATTACTGATTACTTAAAAAAACACTTAAACACTTGCCATGACCACATCACATGTTAACATGCCAAGAACAAAATGATTTTAAAAAAGTGTTATTGTTCAAAGAGGTTTGTCTTGCTTAGTCACTAATTCAGGAAAAAAATGAAGTTTGTAAAAGTCATCAAAGAGAAGGAACCTCAGATCCAAAAGACAACTCACTGTGCACACTAACTTCTACAGCTCTACAACATTACCATTTTACAATTCCTTACTGGTTTTCATGCTATTCCTTACCTGACCCATGAAAGTTAGAAAGTCAAATCATAAGTCCAGAAACATGTGAGGTTTACATTTCACACTACTGATATTTGAAAAGCCAATAAAAATATAACCATTGTAGAAAAGTATTTTGAACACTTGTTTTATTAGTTACTAAAGAGGAGTGCTGTCTTTGTATGTGAATAGGAGTGCATAATTACCCCCAATTAGCCCCACATGGCATCATTTCTAAACTAGGAAGCATCCACAAACCAAGCCTCACTTGCCTCCATGTCTGTGTCCATTTTCTTTTCTTTCATTTTTTTTCCTGTAAGTGTTATGTTACCAAATAGACCAGCTGTCATTGTGTTTGTTTTTCTTATCAGCTCTGAGCTCACTAATGCATTTAGTGCCCCCTCCCTTCTGTGGCTTGAATGACTTGCCTTGTGATCCCTAATGCTTTTTGCTTTCTAGTTAAGACCTTACTTACACTTTCTGACTGGAGTAACTTTGCTTTTGTGTCCTGATCCTTCAGCTAAAATGAGTAAGTCTTGTTAGGGCTCGTTCAGGCAAGAGCCTGTCCAGTTATGGATTAAAGATGATGAGCCAAAGATGCTCAGAAGGTACTGCAGGTGATTTTTATGATTTGTAAAGAATATATACCGTCTCATTTCTAAGAGGGATATTTAAAATAAGTTAGGTAATATAGCAGTGTGGAGCTTGGTTCCAAAATGATAGCATGTACTTTTGTAGGAAAAAATATTTTTTTTGTTATTAATGAGGAACTTCACCCCTTAATTGTTTTTTCTTTCCCCTTTTAAGCTGGTCATAGACACAAAATTTGGTCAGTTCAGCCAAACTTCAATCTGTGTGTGGTTGCCCCTATTTGACAGAGGTCAGTCGTTAGATGGAGTTCTGTTGAACTGACAAACTGGAAAACTGACAAGCTAAAATACTTTTGCTGGTCATTGGCTGCAGCCACATATCACTGTATTCTGACATCGGAGAGCCCTGCTGTCAGAATACAATGTGCAACTGGCTGAAAAAAAAGAACCATCTATGGCTAGCTTTTCCTTGTCTACTGGGTGGTCTTCAAAAACCATATACACACATGGTGAATCCAGCACTGTCTGATGTAATCCAAATTGGGTCCTGCACCTCCATGTTCTCTTTTTAATTCCTGGTTCTTGCTGATAGCTCCTTGATTATGCACCTCTGTGCATGTCCTGTGTGGTGTAGATTGCCCAGAGTTTGTGTAATGTGGTGTAGATTGACCCTCATAAGATGCATGACCTAAGTATCCCTGTGGGCAGCTGGGCGAGAAAGTCAGAAGCTCCAGCTATTTTGTTAAAATAAAGGGTTATTGTAAAAATTAAAAAAAATATTCGCAACTGTAGTAAAGAAGGGGGGTGAGGACTGTGATTAATCAGGTGCACTGAGAGAGAGCACACAAAGGCAGATCCCATAGAACCCAACATGCAGATATATATTGGAGATTTGGGGGTACAGGAGGGGTGGCGTTGAGCTTTGGCACAGATAAACAGTCCACCGGGTAACATTGGACACACTACAGATAAACAGTTCACAGAATAACAGTGGGGACAACATGGATGAACAGTTCACAAAGTAACGATAATTTTGATTATTTTGAAATGTGGCTTCTTAGCCCATATCTTCTTGGGATATTTACTCGCTTTTATCTGTGTATGTTATTTCATTTTTCATTTTACTTTTCATTTATAATTTTTTCATAATTATTTTTATCCATTTTTATCCATTATTCTTTTTCTCTTTCTTTGTTTCTCTTTTTATTCCACTTCGCTTTCCTTTTTCTTTTCCTCCTTTCTTGTTGTCCTCTGATTTAATCAACAATACAAAGACAAACAATAAATCATATTTCTGCCCTCCACTACAATATTAACAATATTAACAATATTAAAAGTAGCAAAGAAGTGTCCAGGTCTGCTTTGGGGGGTTTTTTTTTTGAGTGTAAGGTCAATTTCGACTTTATATTAACCACTTCCATGCAGGGCACTTTTACCCCCTTCCTGCCCAGGTTTTCAGCTTTCGGCATTGTCACACTTTGAATGACAATTGCGCGGTCATACAACACTGTACCCAAACTTAAATTTTATCATTTTCTTCACACAACTAGAGCTTTCTTTTGGTGGTATTTAATCACCACTGGAGTTTTTATTTTTTGCTAAATTAACAAAAAAAGACCAAAAATTATGAATATAAAACCACGTTTTTCTTTGTTTCTGGTATAAAAGTTTGCAAATAAATAATTGTTGTTCAAAAATTTAGGCCAAGATGTAGTTCACAAACTATGGGATATATCTGAAAATTGATCAATCCTGAAGTACTGACAGCCAATCTAATTTCTTGAGGTCCAAGAATGTCAGAACAGTACAGATATCCCCCAAATGACCCCTTTTTGCAAAGTAGACAGTCTGACGTATTTCATAACAGGCATGGCGAGTTTTTTGAAGTTGTCATTATTTTGTCATTTTTCGGAAAATTAAGAAATTAAAAAAATGATTTTCACAATTTTTTTTACATACTGTCACCAGTGCAGTACAGCATCATCATATAACTGGCATGGCGGTGATCAGGGACACTGACTGGTGACAGTACGAAAAAAAAAAATTGATGATTTGTTTTAATTTTTTTTTATTATTATTGTTTTTAATTTTGTATTAATTTTTTTTCTCTTTTTTTAAGATTTTATTTTCATATTGCATTATGACCAAAGTAGTATAATGTTACCATAGTAACATTGTACTACTTTGGGTAAGTGATTAGTATTTTTTTTTTTTTTTTTTTTACACAATTTGCTTATAGCAAATAATTGCTTTGCTATAAGCAAGCATTTACCTGAATGAAATCAATTCATCCAGGGTTTTCTTTTTTTCTGATTAGCTGTGATTTGGCCATGATTAATCACATGACACAGCTGGGTTGTGATTGGCCCTGCTTGTGCATGTGATCGCTGTGATTATTAACAGCTGAACACACTTGTATACAATGGATGGTATGAAAGGAAGGAAGCCATCCATTATATACAACTGTCATGTGACCTGCTGTAATTTTTTTACAGTTTTTTTATTTACAACTCTGATGGGGGGCTTGGGTGAAATATCAGCGCTCTAAACAAACCCCGGACATCTCACCTTTGAGAAAGGAATTGAGGGTACATATTCTTCAGCTGCTTTCACTGCAGCCTCAGCTGCACTGCATATGAATGAACAGGAGACAAAGGCCCCTGTTCATTCATAAACTGAAGTCTGGTAAACATAGTTTACTAGGCTTCAGTTATGAATGAACACAGTGAGTGATTGATCAATCACTGCATTCATTCACTAAAGGAAGGAGCTGGTGAATGACACATTTACTGGCCCCTTCTGCTGTTCTTCCTGAAATCCCCCTGTGTCCTGCAGCAGTGATGGAGGGGGCAAACAGCATCATGCATGGGGAATCAGATATGGCCAGGAAAGGGAGGGGGATCAGTACCAGCAAGGGGGGGGGGGAGCAACTACAGGAATAATGCCCTGTGTGTCTTCTCCTCCAGCAGCTGAAAGCTGGTGGGAGGGATAGGGGGAGAAACAGACTTTCAGCTTCTGCAGAGAGACGCACAGGGCATCGTTCCTGTAATTGCCACGGTACCGATCAACCTTCCTGTCCTGCCCACATCTGATTTCACCTGCTGCCCAGGCCCCCATACAGGGGACAGGTAGAAACCCCCTTATTGGCGGCCCTGTGCTACATTGCCAGCATGGGGCATAACGGATGCTATATGCAGCTAGGGTCCAGAGGGGAGGCCACAGTCTTTTTGGAATTAGATCACCTTTTAATTTTTTGTGAAAAGGTGAACTTACTCTTTAGGAGCAGTTTTGCAAAACTGTATATAGTTCTACTTCAGCATTACAAGCAAGTTAGAACTAGATGAATAGATCTCTCTTAGGCTTGACATACACAAGGGAAAAATGTGAAACCGCGGTTGCCACGTTTTGCGTTTTCCTGTGGTAGGCAGTAAAAATGTTCCTATCCTGAACGTGATTCTTCTGC